ACCATTGTCTGATGTGAATTACTGGCTTTAAAACCCTCCTACCCCCTCCCCTCCCTGACAGACCCTGGGAAAGCAGAGAGTCATGTACTGGTTTCTTGCTGCTGGGCTGTCATTCTGTCCTGTTAGGACCTCTGTCCGTCCTAGGATCTCTACCACCATCAGAACCTCTTCTTCATCTCCCTGCTACATTCCTAACTTCCTGGCTGCCCCCCTGGCTTGAATCTCGTCGTCAGCAAGAAGGGGGACATTTTTCTCCCTAACAGTGTTCTGGCAAGCAGCCACAGGAGTTGCCTGCCTGTTGTTTTCATTCAGACATGCAGCAGGTGCCTGAAACGCATTCAGCTATCACCTAACACGTGCCTGGCACTGGGCTTTCATCCGGGACACTGGGGAGCAAAACATTGATCGTCGCTGTAGACTTGGTGGAGCAGCATTATCTGGTGTTAGTGTTATCGCTCTTTCCTGCTGAGCATCATTCGGACAAGCTGCTCAGTTCAGAAGACCATGGGGCGGCACTTCCTGGACTGGCATTTATACCTGTTCATCATGCCTGGCATCTCCGGGCTGTCTCACCTCTTCAGACCGAGATGCATTTCTTGTTCAAGCACTTCCCTTTTTCTGCACCTTTCTCAAAGATTTTTTTTTTAATCACCATGTCAGAAGCCAGGACTTCACTCCTTCCCGTTGTCCCCAAGAGAGATTGTATGTGTAATTGAAAATAGAATTGTATGTGTCCTGACAGGACAGAACTCTGCTGATTACGTGTGAAAAGATCAGAAAAAAAATATTTAAACCCGAGAGCTGAATATTCATAGTATGAAAACACTGGAGGCAAGGAAGTGTTGGAATAATAAAGGGGGTATATTTTATATGCTTTGCACACTTTTCTCGGGGCTGAATAGTGAAGAAACCATTAATGATTTTAGAAGGCAATGACCAGATCAAGCTTTTGCTTATCCTGCGAAATCTATTTATTATTTAGTGAGCTTTGAAAGTGGGAGAACTTAAGCAGAATTGTCCTAAACGCTAGGGAATTGTCCAGATTAAGGAGGTTGGATGTCTAACCCAGTCCCTTACTCTTTTCCTTCGGGGTACATTTCCCCCAGCCCCCTGACACAAGATCATGTTATTTAGTCCTCCTGCCTTAACTTCTCGGGTGCTGAGATGAGAGATGTATGCCATCATTCCAGGCTCTTGAGGATAATTATTTTATTCTGCCCTGAAATCCTGCATGGCAGAGACAACCAAAGTTTCATTTTTTTTTCTTAAGAAATTTTGGAGGTAGGTACTTGAGGCTGTACTTTACTCTTAGCCATAATTGTAAATTCTATTCATGGTGCATTCTAGTCATCGTGGTGATATTTTGTTTGTGATAATAAATAATAATAAATAAAGGTCGCCTGAGGATCAGAGTGTAGAGTGAGTCATTAGTTAGCCTTAGAGGCCAGGCAGTGGTGGTGGGTGGCACACACCTTTAATCCTAGCACTCAGGAGGTAGAGGTGGAAGGATCTTGGTGAATTGAAGGCCACCCAGGGCTACACTAGGCCGATCCAGTCTCAAAGAGAAATAGAGCCAGGTGGTGGTGGCTCACATCTTTAATCCAAGTACTTGAGAGTCAGACGCCTTTAATCCTAACACTACGGAGGTGGAGACAGAGAGGGAATTGTCTGGGTATATAAGGTGGGAGGAGACAGGAGCTTGGGCCTTTCATTCTGAGAATCTGTGGAGAAATGATCTTGCCCCCTTCAGTCTGAGGATTTGATAGAGGTAAAAAGTCTCTCTAGTGGCTGGCTCCTTTACTTCTCTGAGCTTTCAGCATTTACCTCCATATCTAACACCTGGTTTTTATTATTAAGGCCAATTAGAGTTTGCACTACAGGTTCTCATTCTCTGGGATAAGGAGGCTGGACTTTCAGGCTTAAATATGGAAACAGATACCACTATTTTCAGTTACTCCAAACCGAGCACATCATGATCCTCCCAAAATAAAATGAGACCCTCATCAACAAATACTTCTGAATTGCAGTTATCAGTAAGAAGGCTTGTGCTTTCTGTTCATTGTAAAGTTCATTTTACATATTGTAAGGTATAGTGAAGTGAGCATGTTTGCAGAATGAAATAGGGTAGGGGTAAGATCGGTGTTACAGTGCAGACAGAATAAGTGAATAGTGACATGATTAACCTCCTTTCCAGCTATTATGTCTTACATTTTGCTAATCACATCCATGTCCCACCCTGAATTATTCTGCATGGTATTTGCAACTACCTGAAATTGTATTACTGTTTGTGGACGTGTGCAGGTCTGTGTGTGTGTGTGTGTGTGTGTGTGTGTGTAGGTGTGTGTTCATGCGTGCATGCAAGCACATTGATATGCTATGGAATAGGTATTATTCCTCAGATACCATACACTTTTTTTCTTTGTTTGTTTGCTTTTGGATATGGTCTCTCGCCAAGTAGGCTAGGCTGCCAGTGAGGCCCAGGGGTCACTCTGCCTCTGTCCCTGGGGTGCTAGAACTACAAGTGTGCACACACACTATGTCCTGCAGTGGCTTGGGGACCAAACTGAGATCCTTGCGTTCGCAAGGGCAGCGCTTTACCAACTGAGCTCTGTCCCCAACCCTGACACCTTATTTTTACCTGACTTTCCATCTGTATGATTGTTCTCGCCAATGGAAGCTCTACGAGGTCTAAGGCTTCACCTGTTTGCCACTGCACCTCAGCAGCCGGAGCAGCGCCAGCCAATAATCAGACTCTCAAGGAACATTCTCTTCAAAATGTGTTGATGAATTTTTTTGAAGGAGTATATGATTTCTATGCGTTAGTTTTCCTAAAGCGAACAAAGGTAATTGATAGATTCTGAGCCAAGTCCAGTGCCAAAGTCGATGATTGGGTAGCCTGACAGCTGGAATCCGTAGGCAGTGTGATTACATAGAGTAAGAAATATTTGGGAATGAACAGAAATTAGCAAATCAAATTCTGGACATGTCTGTGGAGATGGATTTGTTTTATTGCCACGTACTGCAATTCATTATACTCATTGCTGGAGTCAGGAAAGAGCCCTCAGAGCTCCGGGGATTACCTAACACAGGAGAAAACTCTGAGGCGAGGTATCACCCGCTAAGAAATAAACCTTGTCAAATTCACCCCATTGTTTAGGGGTTAGGGTTATTAAATGAGGCTTGACAAATTCACCTCATGCTGGGTCAAGGTTATTAGCTGCTAGAGCTGATCTACAGCAAAGGATTTCCTCACAAGCAAGAAATAGAAAGGCGATTAAACTGACATAGGATTGAAGAACCGTCGTGGAGGATACAGCGGGGGTCTTTAGTGATGGACCTCAGCAGATGATACACTGTCCAGAGTGCATGCTGATCAAATCTGGACCACAGAGATAGGAACGAGGACATGTGGGTGACGGAATCGTGCCCCCATTGTCACCTTTTGGAGCTGTGACAATGAGCTGACTGTAGCAGAACCGAATTTAATGGAGACAGATATCAAGGCACGTACTTGGGTTCCAAACACCAACCACACATGTGCTCAAGCTGAATTCTTCTAAATCAACCAAACCGTTTTCCAAGCCACTTACGTGATGACATGGAAAGTTCAGTGCCCAGCGCCTTTCTCAGCCTAAACCTTGAGCCCTGGTGCCCCATGCTACCAGATAACGTGTGCTTTGCCCAGCTCTGTGCCTCGGTGCCTGACTGGAGAGTCTGCTGTCTCTGGCTAGGATAAGTACCCCTCTGCCAGTATGATCCTCTTGATGCTTCTCTTGCTGGACACACCATCGTCTCTGAGCCTAGTCTCTGGGAACCACAGCCATACATTCTCTGACCATAGATAGCTCAAGGACATAAGATTTGGTGAATCAGTTCATCTTTTCAAATAAGAAAATGCAGGCCCTCACTTTCCTAAAAAGTGAGTATAAACTGGATCTAAGCATAAAAATACGCCAGTGCAGCCTGGACTGCTGTGTTCAGGTCCAAACCGTCTTGCAATGGTTTAGAACTGAAATACTTTCCAAAGGCTTTATACTAACGGCTTTGTTATCAGTTATCATCCCAAGTGGGAGGGTGGAACTTTTAGGAGGCAGGCCTCCGTTATTTTCCTGCCTCCGCAAGCATCTGTTCACCCTGCCGACATTCTCCACCTACTCTGTGAGGACCAGACCACATCTCAACCTAGGACTTGTTTCTGTGCAAGTGACCCACAAGTGTACCCCCAAAAGGGAAGACGAGAAGGCCTAACAATCTATCCTGTGAGTGAGTATTCCTTCTGATTACCAGGGAAGTGGAAGAGGGGAATTTTCTTACCTCCTTAAAATACACACTTATTTTGTATTATATGTATACACACACACACACACACACACATATATATATATTTGTGTTTAGAAAAGCATGCTTAATGCTTAAAACTTGAAGAAGACAGATGAGTTCAAATGCACATGTATTTTCATTGCACATAGACATAACATCTTTATAGAAAAATGCTGACTCATACTGGTTACCACTGCCATCCTGCTCCAAAGGCCATTATGCTAAAGGCCAGTTAAAGTGTGACAGTATTTGAAAATAGGGGGGGCCTTTCACAGATAGGGCCCAGTGAGGGCAAGTTAGGTGATTGGGACGTGTCCTTGGAAAGGGAATTAGGATTTCCAGCCCCACCTCCACTCCTGTCACACACACACACACACACACACACACACACTTCCTGACCTTTAGGAAACAGGCCATTTCCTCTGTCGTGTACTTGCTGCCATGATTTTCTGTCTGTTGTTTTGTAAGGTATTTATCTCAGGTGATGTGTAACAATGATGGGAAATGCAATGCTTCGTTGCTATCTTTTCTGCTTTGTAATACATTAAGATGTTTTAACCAAAAAAAGTATTATTCCACTTCAAGACCACCGAAGAACGCACAGAACTATTTTAGTAATTTGAACTTTATTATAAAGACCTTGTAAATAAAAGAAAAACCCCTCAGTGAAATTAGCCAGACCCCAATGTCTACACATCTCAGTGAACCTCGATGCACTTAGAATTGTATTTTGCCAGGGCAAGGAGTTTGAAGAATAAGGTTTCACTGCCTCCAACTCTTCTTTAATTATGACTTAATTTTCTAAGCACCGATTGTATCGAAATCCAGCCACCCTATCAGCCAAGGATAGCTGTAATACCTCCCTCCCAGTACTCCATCTGGCATCTTCTCTCCAGAAAGGTTTGAGGAGGTGCCTGGGGTTGACAATGCTTCTTTATCTTCCCACCACAGTTTGAGTGATGTCACGTGACCAATGTGAAGAAGGGCCAAAAGGATAATAAATACCATATTCAATCTGACCTGGAAGGATGATAATTCCTTATGATTTTTGGGCTGATTTCCAAGCAAATCCAAAGGAGGGAGAAGTCCAAGTGAATGTCATCCACATAGCACCTGCACAGGCATGAGGTGGTCCCTTCCCTTGTTGTCAACCTCAGCTTCTTCCCCTGGGAGGAAGAATAAATGAGATGTTATATTGTTCAGAAGCCTCCCACAGTCTCTCTATCTGTAGCTGGTTTCTTCTCCTCAGACAGCAAACTCAAATCCCCCTGAGCCACAGTCTTATTTACTGTTCTATTGCTGGGAAGAGACACCTTAACTCAGGCAGCTTATGGAAGAAAGCATTTCATTGGGAGCTTCTTTACAATTTCAGATGGCTGGTCCCTTATCAGCACGGTGGGTGTGTGGCAGCAGGCAGGCTTGCTGCAGGAGGAAGAGCTGAGAGCCTTGTCCTGATTCCCAGGCAGCAAGCAGACAGTGAGAGCTGGGCTGGCAAGGGCTTCTTAACCTCAAAGCCCAACCCTCAGTGATTTCATCTCCTAGTCCTTCCCAAACAGCTCAGTTCCCAGGGGACTAAGCATTCAAATAGATGAGCCTAGGGGTCGTTGTCAATCAAATCTCACAGCTATCTGGAAGCTGTGGTGCTATGGCCCATTTGGTTTTCAAAGTACAGTGATGCCCGAAGACCCCACCTCCACTTCTAGAAGGAACGGGATTTAGTGGATGGTTGAAAGCTTCCTCTCAGAACTCTCCCTGTTTCAGAACGAATGAGGCCCTCCCTGTCCCCCACCTCCCACTGAGCCCTCCCTTGTCAATTCTTGTCTGATTATTGCCTCAGGTGGCAGCTCAGAGCCACCGGTGGGGGAAAGCACCAATGGTGGCCTCTTCACCAGCGGCTGTGGCATGGTCCCTGCTCTTTGGATTCTCATTGCTCTCCCTGTGGTCACAGTTATTAACGAGCGCCCCCTCACTCCCCTGCTGGGCTGTAGACTTCTCTCCATCACCCCGTCTGATTCCTCTGTGTCCCCTCATCGAGCTTGGAGATGAATCCTGATTGGAAAAGCGACCTGGGTCCATGGTGACAGAGAACTGTTTATCTTTATTTCTTCTAGGGCTCAGTCTAGGTTACCACCTGCCAGCTCTTGGGGTTTCCTGGTGCTCCCTGGGGGAATGCAAGCTTCTTACCCAGGGCACACCCTGGTTCTTCCTGCTCTCCCTAGCACACCTTGACCTGCAGGCAAGGAGCGGTTCTCAGCACAATCCCTAAACAATGGTTCCTCCCAGCTCTTCCTCCCGCCCCCCTCAGCTCAGCAAACCTATTGTGTGACCCTGATCTGTTTGTTTCTAGGAGAAGCAAGAGCCCCTGTACTGGTGGCCACTGCAATGAGGTGACTGGGGACACAGTTACAAAACCCAGGTTCTCTCTTAGCTTCCTGAGGGCGATATCCTCAAAAGCAATTGCTCACCCAGAATTTTTCTCTACACAGCTAGGATGGGCACTTCCCAAACCACATCCAGCTTTATAACCCACCATTAAATGAAGTCTAGTAGGAAGATGAAGACCAGTAAAATAAGTGAAAACCTGTTGCTGCGGTTGAAGTTTAAGAGAACGTGGTCCACGTTTTCCTTCTAGTTTCTCACCTGCCGCTGCCTCTATAGACCCTGGGAACCTCTGGAGCCAAGTTGAAGGGCATTGGATGGACAGCCTCTAAGCATCTGTCCTAACCAGAGTTACTAATCTCACAAGGTCCCAACAACAAGGAGAGGGGCTGAAGGAAGCCAAGCACCCTGGGGAGGATGGGACATCTATCTGGGGACACAGCTGTCTTTCTGGACACAGGCGATCTGCCACACCCAGACATTCTCAGGGCTGTGGGGTTGTGGAGCATGGACTCTGTTTTCTCACTTCCCAGCGCTGCGGTGAAATCAAAGTCAGCATTTCTTTTTTATACTTGATGGCGCTCAGGAGGGGTGAGCTGCTTTCCACGCCTTCTCCAACAAAGCCTTAAATTCCACCTGGCTTTGCACCTCCACTAATGGCACATGTATCTACGTCACTGTGCTGTCAGACAGGGACGGTAACTCTTCCTTCTCTGCATCGCAGACAGCAGACGTGGTGATGTAGCCCAGGGGGAGCGGTCAGTGACGTGAGTGAAGGAATGACCGAGAATGTGCAGTTTCTCGATGCCGCTGTCTTGGCCAGAGAAATATGAAGCATTTGCCTTTCCAGTGACTTACCCGGCACTCTCCTGCTTATGGCAGCTGGACTTTGTTGAGACACTGCCAAGAGCCACTCAAGCCCACCCAAGTGTCTGTTCTTCGTGGAACTTGCTCTGTCCCTTCTTCTGGGTGTAAGGAGTCCTTTAGCTTTTCTTTTCTTATCATAGATTCAAGCTATCATTATTTCCTCTTCCTCCTCTTTAAAAAATAACACAGCCTGAGTCAGGAGAGTCTGCTCAGTGGCTAAGAGCTCATGCTGCTCTTGCCGAGGACCAGGGTTTGGCTCCCAGCACCCACATTTGTGGCTCGCAGTCATCTGTCACTCCAGTGCCAGGGGATTTAACTCCCTTTTCAGACACACCTGTGGTATATATACATGCAGGCAAAACACACTCGTGCACTTAAAGCAAAACAAAATTTAAAAATTAAGATAACAAGCAATGTAATATAGACTTAGCATAATATACTGTAACATCATAAAATAATAAAACATGACATAACCTGTCTAGTCCTGGGCTCTCCTCCTTCTTCTTAGAGCTGCTTACCTGGTGGTAAGGAGCTCAGATCGGTGTTTCAACTGCCCTGGGAGTTGTGTAAATTGTTTCTGTGGTGGTTCAGAATGGGGATCCTGTTCCCGTCCTCCTCTAAGACAACAGAAAAGAGACTGGAGTCTGGAAGGGGACTAAGTCAGAAGAGGAGAGGAGAGCCAAGAGAATGATGGGGGAGTATGAGCAAAGAACAATGATACACATGTATGAAAATATCATAATGAAACCCATTAACTAAAAGCAGTAATAGAAAAGACAAGCAAGGCAGCGAAGCTGCAGGAGGCGTAGACAATGCAATTCAGAGTTAACTAGAAACAACTGGGCATGGGGTTCCCTGCTTTGGATTAGCTATGCATTTTTTTTTCCACTAGCAGTATGGGAGGAGACCCGTAGGGATGGGGACTGAGTTCCTGGCTTCGCTCCTGTAATCTGCTCCTCCTCATCTCAGAAACTTCACTCTTCACTGCTCCTGTGACAAACAGAAAACCACCCCTGGCCCCTTTCTGTTTCTCACAGCCCATCTGCAGTCTACTGAGAGCCCCCTGGTCCTACCTTCGAGACCTATTCAGAAGCTGGTCATCCCTCCCCCTTATACCAGTTACCACGTTATACCAGTTCCTCTGCCTCAGCTCTAGGGACATCGAGGCCCAGGCTCGATAATTCTTTGTAAAGGGGAGGCAGCCGGACACTCTGAGGTGTCATTTATCATATCTCTCTACCCACTAGGAACACATACCAGTCTCCCTTCCCTCTAAGCTGTGAGAAGCCAAACCATCCCTAGACATTGCCGGATGTTTCACAAAGGGAAAGAACCGTGTAGTTGGTAACCACTGCTCTAGGCTGAGCATCGTCAGCTTTCCTGATGGCTGCAGCGGTCAACTGTTGACCTCCCTTCAAGAGCCCTGACCTCCCCTTTACAGTCTGTTCTCAGCCAGCCACCAGCAGAGTTGATCTTATCTGGACACCATATCACTCTTCTGGTCTCCACCCCTCCCCAACACAGTCTTCATTAAAACCCTATCTATCCTTCAGCAGATTAAAAAGCCTGACTCAATCCGCACCAGCCCCACCTGCCTCAATTGCCCCCTTCACTGTATCCTCTTTGTTCTGGGTGTTGCAGCCACCACTGCCCGGTGCTGTTTCCTGAATGCCCAGCACAGTCCAGCTTCAGGGCCTTTATGCTTGCTGCTGTTGCTGGGGTTCTGTCAAGGAGGCCATGGCGTAAGGTCTGTGGGATAGTTAACAAGGTGCTTGTTACACAGTACACTCAGAAACGAGAGCTAATGTTGTTTCGTGATATTCATGTCCAATTCATGAAACATTTTCCCGAATCACCATCAGTTGCTCAGAAATACTTGGTAAGTGATTCCTGGCAGAGGCTGTGAAAATGGCTCTAGAGGGGAGATCCTCAAGTGAGTTCTGGGTAAGGTATAGAGACATCGAGAGAAAAACAGTGTGTTCTCTCTCTCGTTCTCTCTCTCTCTCTCTCTCTCTCTCTCTCTCTCTCTCTCTCTCTCTGTGTGTGTGTGTGTGTGTGTGTGTGTGTGTGTGTGTGTGTGTATGTGCCCTCCCTCCACATACACCTTTTTCCATCTGTCTCTTTGATGGAATTCTACACAGGACATCACACTCTGGTCTTGTTTCTCCAGGGATCACCCCTGCGTCAATGTAGATGTAGGAGGCGTCATTGTTGTTTCCCTTGAGACCTTGTGACTGCTTGACCCCGATAATGGCTTTGCCTTCTGTCCTCAGTCCCCAACCAAGAATAAAGATGGAAGGGAGCGCCAACCTGTAACAAACAAGAGATAAGTCATTACTCTTTCAAACCACTAGGGTTAGAGTTTCTTTGTTACTGGGACTGGCCCTGATTCACCCTGACTGATACACACCAGTCACTTTATATCTGAGAACAAACTATGGCCTTGCTAGTGTATCAGGAAGCCATAGCTTACAGGGAATGCTAAAGGAATCTTCCCATTGGATTGAGGAAATGGCTGTGTGGACAAGAGTTTTTGCTACCTACGCATAACCATAAGTTCCTGAGTTTGGATCCCTATCATACGAAATGTCAAGCACTGTAGGGACTGGAAAGATGGCTCATTGGTTAAGAGCATAACTGCTCTTGCAGAGGACCTAGCTTTGATGCCCCAGCACCTCCATGGCAGCTGACAATCATCTGTAGTTCCAGTTCCAGGGAGGTCTGGTGTCCTCTTCTTACCTTTGTAGGTCGTGCATGCACTTGGAACACAGACACGCATGCAGGCAAAATACCTATACACCAAAAATAACGATAAATCAATCTTTAAAAAGTTTTTAAAGTCAAGGGTAACCATAAACCTCTGTAAGCCCAACATTTCAGAGATGGTGGGATGGGGGGCAGGAGGATATCAGGGCCTTGCTTGCTATTGGCCTAGCTCCAGGTTCAGTGAGAGACCCTAACTAAAGGGGATAGAACTAAGAGTGACAGTGGCCAGACGGAGGAATGCCCTCTTCTGACCACTGTGGGAGAGTGCACACTTATACACACACACACACACAGAGAGAGAGAGAGAGAGAGAGAGAGAGAGAGAGAGAGAGAGAGAGAGAGAGAGATTGAGAGATTATTCCGGAATTGATGTATCTGAGAGTTTGGTTTGCTGTTTTTGTTTGTTTGTCTTTTGTTTGTTTGTTTTTTGTCTCACAGAAAATGCAGAGAAAGAAAGCTAGACTCCTAACTGTGCACTGTGTGAAGCTCCAAACACTCAGACACTCGTCACCAATACATCTTAGAGATACCCTGTTCTACCCAGGAAGACATGTTTCAATCTCACTCTGATCCCTGAGGTTCTGTTGGCAGCCGTACCTGCGCCATCACCTAAACACGGTAGTACCCTCTCATGGCAATCTATCCATCATCAGGTGTTTTCAAATAATGCACGACAGGAGGGAGAAACAAAACCTCCTGTCTTAACCCTTGCCACGTTATTCAAACACGGGCAACCCATCCAGTACCTTCTCATCTCCAGGCGTTATGGAATGAGCAGCGTTTTAATGCTGGGGAGGACAAGTGTGACAGATACCCTTGGGGGTGATATGTGGGCGCATATGAAAGGGCCTGCCCATTCTGTGGTGTAACTACATGAGCAGGTGGGAAGGAAGTCCTTATCACGCATCTACATCCACAGGAGAGTAGGACCTGGGTATCCTGGGTCCTCATCTTCCTCTCATCACCTCTCACTCCTCTGGTACAATCTCCCCATGTCATGAGCTCTGGCCTCTTAACTCTAAGAATCTCCCAGGTCTGGAAACAGGAACCATGCCCGGTCTTCTAGCCCTTGCTGAAAGCGAGTTAAATCCTTAGGTGGTCATCTCTGAGGATATTGGGAGTCTTCTGTTTGCAAACCTCTGAGGATTTTTGTTTGTTTGTTTGATTGATTGTTTTGGTATCCAGGATTTAAATATCATTTCTTTCTCTGCCCCAGCTGTTTAACATGAGGCTTGGGAAAGTTTTTTTGAGGAGGGGGGCGGGGGATTTCACCTGTGAAGACCTAACTCAGATACCATATGTTGCATGACTGTGGGATGTTGACTATGGCAGGAACGTCCATGCCTTCTTCAAATGAAAACATCCTCTCTGCAAAGAATTAAATTTCTGTATTGTTCTTCTTTGTGTATATAAATCTGCGACCTACCCAGAGAATACAGTATTTTCTTCTCTCACTGCTCTGACAAAACTCCTAACCAAAGCCGCTTAAGGAAAGAATGGTTTGCTTGGGCCCTAAGGGACACAGTGCATCGTGAAAGGAAAAGGATGGTGGCTGGAGTACGAATGGTCACAGTGTCCCCAGCCAGGAAGCAAAGATGATGGTGACACTCAAATTTCTCTTCCTTCCCCTCCCCTTCTTCATCTCTCTTTTCCCCTCCATCTCTTCATTTCTATCCAGTCTGAAATCCCAGTCTATGGGACAATACAGAACACACTGTGTGTGTGTGTGTGTGTGTGTGTGTGTGTGTGTGTGTGTGTGTTGTCTCCTCAATTAGACTTCTCTGGAAACACCCTCACAGACACACCCATATGTGTATCTCCTAGGTGATCCCAAATCCAGTCAACAGGACAATAAAGATGAACTATCACAACCACTTTCTCCGCAAGACTTGATCTTGGTTAGAGGCCAACAACTTGGTTAGAGGCCAACCTAGCCTTATATGCCTTTATGCATGTGTGCTTAATTTTCAGATGGATACACAGATTTTCAGACCAGCCACACACCCACACTCTCACACATCCATTGACAGCTCAGCCTAAAACAAGGCTTGCACTACAGGATAAAACAAAGGATAAGAAAGACTTTTGAAAGAGAGAGCAAACATATGAAGAAAAGGGTCTGTGTCTCCTGCCCCCAGTCTCTCTTAGGATGCCCTCGGTGCACTGTGGTCTTGGAGTTCCTAAGAGACATTTTCAGGTTACTATTATTGGTCTTCATGGTCCATGAGACAAACACAGCAGCATGACATTTCTGTACCACCACCCTCTTGTGACCTCGGGGTAAGTGCCAATCCAGTTTCTCACCTTAGCAGCTTTTGCTTCCCCTCCTTGCTGACCCTGCCCTGAGCACACCTTGGACTTGAGTTGATAGTTTTAAATGCTTGGATATTTTAATATACATGATGGCGGTGGGTGTGCTGATAATGGCTTAGCATGCAGCATTCTTGGGTCATCCCTTTTCTTCCCAAACAGCTAGCTAAGTGGTAGTGAGGCCTGTTTCACCCTGTTCTGTGTAGGCTAGGACAGGGACCAGAACTGGGGAGGACAAGTGTGACAGATACCCTTGGGGGTGATATGTGGGCGCATATGAAAGGGCCTGCCCATTCTGTGGTGTAACTACATGAGCAGGTGGGAAGGAAGTCCTTATCACGCATCTACATCCACAGGAGAGTAGGACCTGGGTATCCTGGGTCCTCATCTTCCTCTCATCACCTCTCACTCCTCTGGTACAATCTCCCCATGTCATGAGCTCTGGCCTCTTAACTCTAAGAATCAAGCGTGGCTCCTGTGCTCAGTGTCCAGCCGTATGCATGTATGGTCTCTCCTGTCTGTTTGACTGTATCTCAGCGATCCTCCATGACCCTTTCCCACTGGCAATTTTCTTCAACCATTCTGCTTATGCACAGAACACGGGCCACGCGGCATTGCCTCTACAAAAGCTCTTAACTGCTCCATGTCTGGTACTCCTTCAATGTCTGCTAAGTGCCTGTCTGTCTCATTATATCCCTCTTGGAGTTCTGGATTTAGTCATGGATGTCTTTTTTTTTGTTTGTCTCTTTGTTTGTTTTGTTCCGGTCTTTTGTTTTCCAAAAGCTCTTGTACTTCTACATATAGTAGGCGCTGACTGCTTACTATCTGGGTGGATAAAGAAACAGCCTCTCCACCACGGTGTCTGCAGACTTCCTTTTATAGAATTCTGTCAAATCAGCAATGCTGATTTCTCATTTCTCGGGTGGTGTTTTCAGTAGCAGAGAAGTTCTTCTGTTCTTATGCTAAACCGGAGAAGTGTGCAGCTCAGGGAAGAATGCAAACACACTGGCTGCGAATGTGCAGGGAGTCAGAAGCTGTCATTCAGCTCATCCCACCTCGCCTGGAATAGCAGGAACAGTGTGAGGGACACAGTGGCTCTCTGCCCACCACTCCTATCTTTGGTCTGTATTCTCTGGCTCCCCCAAAGTTCAGGGCCCAGTACATGAACCCTAACGAATCAGCACAGTCCCGAATCCTGTGTTCTAGGAGGGGTTCAGATGTGCACACGGGCCCTAGCCCAGGCCAATGAGTATGAGGAAGATGTTCATTTGTTGCCTTTAGGAAGAAACATTACAGAAAATGAGCTGTCATGGCTGAAGCCACAGAAAGCTCTGGCGGGTGGGAAAAAAAAAAAAACCCTAAGCTGCATTGTTTAGCTGGTCACTCAAACTACCCTGGAATACTACGTATTTCAGTTAGAGTATTTCATCAGAGTTCTTGCTTTTGTTATTTTCTGTTGTTTGCAGCCAATCCCAGTCAGAGTGGGGAGTCACTGTTAGCTACCCACAGAATAGCTACAAAAATATTAAGGTCCTCACTGACAGCTCAAAGCAGAGCAATGGAGAGTGCAAGCTAAAGACAGGTGTAAAGGGCACTGTAATGCAACTATTGATCAGTGGGCATCCCTGGGTGGGCATCCCTGGGTGGGCATCCCTTTTCCTCAACAGGCAGGACCTGGGAGGTTCTTAAAGATTATGAAGACACTTGGGTGTTTTATCCGAGGAGCTCAAAACTTTCCATGCCAGTTTTCAGAATACTTTAGACATTGAGACGCACGCTGGGTAGAGCTGGCAACCTAGCAGATTCTGTAAATGCAAAGGAAACGATTTACATAAAACCCCAAACCAGGCACCACACACAGGATTAAATTGTTCTGTCTTGTTTGTTTGTTGTTTTTGGTTTTTAATTCTAAAAACAAGATAGTCCCATAAGGTACAAAATTAAAGTTACTCCAGCGCCTGTGTTCCCAGCGTCTCTTCTCTTCTCTCCACCTTTGTGGAGTTAGTGGATTAGCGGAGGGGTGGGTAGGCGTAGGCGTGGGCGCGCCTGTTATCTTTCACACAAATGCTAATATCTTATTCATTATTTGTAGCTGTTTTTCAGTCGAGTCAGATAATAGAGCTAGGAGTCTGTAACCCTGGCTCTCAGAAGGTTGAGGCAGGAGGATTGCCGCTAATTTGAGGCCAGTCTGTGCTCTGCTACAGTGTTAAACTGCCACCAGTCTACTTCCTAAAAAAGGATTAAAGGCACACAATGTATCTTGAGTTTTCTGCCTGGATGTCTACGGAGCTATCGCATAGCCACTGCTCTTTCCCAGCGCGCTCCAGCCATCTTTCTGTTTCCCACGAACCGAGCCCGAGGCGCTGTCAGGCACTGAGGTTATTTCATCCCCTTGCCTTGGCAGAGGTGCTATGATCCTTCTAGAGACCTCAAGTCACAAGGTAAATTCCGAGTTACAGATTTCAAAGGGCAATCGAAACTCCTAAAAAAGTCCTCTGCAAACTTTAGGTCCACAGTGACCACAGAAGCACCCACGCACCCCGCGGTCTGCACCGGCTCCCCCTGCAGTGCTACCCCAGGATCATACTGGCCTGGCCTGGCCGCCCAGGCACGTGCGATTCCACGTGAGCCTCCCGCCCGGAGTGTAGAAGCCCAGTACGCATGCGCATCCCGCAGCTGAAAGTAGGTCAGGCTCCTCCTCTCACGTGACCCGCTCCCCTTAGCTACCCTCGGCGCCTCCCCGCCAAGGCGCAGCAGCCTGGGTGCGCTCGGCAGCCAACGTGATGGGGCCGGGCGCGGGCGGGCGCGGGCAGGGGCGGGCCGGCCGAGGGAGGATCTGTGGGTTCTCCTTCCTTCCGAGCGCTTGGTCTGGAGTCGGGCGGGCAGAAGCCGATGCAGAGTAGATAGAAGCAGAGTTAAATTGAGTGGGGGAGGAAACTGGGCTAAGAGCTCAGACTGAGTCCACTGTTCTCCACCTTCAAGACATTCTGCAAGCAAAGAGGGAACCTGGGTCACCGTGAAGTGAAAAATAATCTCAAGAATCCTTTGCAGTCTCAGTGTGTACCTGAGGTAACTCCAACAAACCTCCAAAGAAAATGCAAACGAGGTTAATGGTTCCTGGAGTTTTGCTGAAGTATCTCAGAATCCCCATTTCTAATCTCCTGCCCAACAACCCCAGAAAACACTCAGATCCCCTTCTCTATACGAGGTCTTAGGGAAAGGGGGTGATGAGCAGAAGGGGTTGTGAACGGGGCTGGGGGTTGAACGTAGCTCCAGGACAGCTGAAGTCAAGTTTAGGATTAACTGATTGCTGCTTCCTCTCCATGATTTTGGACTTGTTGCGTGTTCAATGAGTGCACTTCAGAGAGGAGACTGGCAAGCCAAATCAATGGGTTACCATGCAGTAGGTTATAAATCTCTTAACAAGAGGTGTACCCAGGAGTTACATAAGCAGGGGAAGGGGGCGTCCAAGTGCAGGGGTGGGTACCCTGAGTTTTGAAGGCTAAGTGGGAGTGAGCTGGCAGAGACGCTAGGCAGAGGGGGTGGGAAAGTGTTCCAAACAAAAGGAGCTACTAATAGTTACATAATATTTCCCTGGGGAGTTTTTACTAGAAATGTCTTAGTTATGCGCATGGCTGAGATGTGCATTCTTTATGTGTATGTGAGTCTAAGCTGGTCCGTGACAGAATGTCAGTGGCCATGATCATCTTCTTCTTCTTGTTTTTAGGTAATTCCTAGGAGTTAGATTGCTATGAAAAATACAGATATCGTGTAACTTTTATTTTTCAGGGCTGAGGATGGAGCCCGAGGCATGCACATACTAGGCATCAGTATGTGCCACTAAGCCACCTTTTCATCCCTAAGTTTTGATATTTTATAAACACTGCCGAATAGTTTCTTAAGTAGTATCGAGATAGCAAACATTGAGTATTGCTGTTAAATATTAAAAATTAGAATTAATTTTTTGTAAGATAGTTATTCAACTGGCGAATTGCCAGTTATTCATTTCAAATCCACCAGAGCTAGCGAGACTTAGAAGAACACTTGACTTAGAAGAACGACGTAAATCCCAGTGCGTGCATTTCTGAGTTCTGTGAGCCATCAGTAAGTCTAGTCGGAATTAAGTTCTTAAGTTTGGGAGTTGGAAAAGGTCCAGTCAGTTCATTTGCTCCATACAGGGAATCACAACTGGGAGAGGGGAGCTGGAAATGGGGGGGAAAGGGGTGTGAGAGGAATGCACTTCTTGCTGTGATTCAAGAGTAACAGACGTGACAGAGGCCCCCAAGCCAGAACAAGTGACAAGGTGTCTTAGTTCTGTTGCTGTGACAATTGGCTTAAAGGGAGGAGCTTTGACTTTTGGCTTGTCCTCTCAGAAGTGTCAGTGCATGGTCACTTGGCCCTGTGGCAAGAGACGACCTTAAGGTTAGGGATGCCTGAGGGGAATACTGCTCACCTCACCCTGTTAGGGTTAGGGTTAGGGCTTAAGTTTGGAAAGCAGAAGTAAGAATGAGGCTTCCAAGAGTCCTTAAAGGACACCCACCCAGTGCTGTAACTGCTTTCCAGTACTTGCCGATGGGCTCTAGGGCTGTCACCCAAGCCATTAGCATAGGACACCTGAAGGCAATCCAGTGCTGTTTTAACCCCTTGCTATAAATGTTAAGGAAGCTACAGCAGACCCAAAGGCACCTAGGTAATTTGGACAGGGCTACATAGAGAGCCCTCTGTGACAGAGAGGACAATGGCAGTAAAGGAAGAGCAATACCTTTGAGGGTGTGCTTCTGCCTGCATCACACCCCATCACCAAGGAAAGCTGGAGCAGCTTCAGCCTGTCGTTCACACTACGGCTCTTTTCCTAATACCCACTCTGGGTCTGGTTTGTCCATTCTTCGTCTACTTTCAGAAGGGATGGGGAAATCTACCTCCCCTCAGCGACAGGGCTTGGCATGGACTGAATTAGGATAGCAGGGCAGTACTATTGCTCTTTGGTTTTCGCTAGGCTTTTTTCTTTTATTGCTTTTCTTTTTTTTTTTTATTGTGACACCCTTGACCATTTATATCAAATGTTTACTGTTACAGTGCACTATCGTGGCTCCGTGTTCTAAGATAGCTCTCTAGAGATTATTACCTCGTTTGACTGAAACTTCACGCTCATCCGTTTGCAGCTCCTCCTGACCCTCTTTCAACCCCAAGCGCCCTTCATCCCATGTCAGATGGCGTCCAGTCTTAGATACTTCACGGATGGGGAGCCATGCGGTATTCGTCTTTCCGTGAGTAGCTTATTTCATTGAGCATAATGTCCTCAAGGTTCATCTGCATTGTCTCATATGGAAACATTTCCTTCTTGTTAAAGGTTACAGAGTTGTTTTACTGGATGTTTAGGCCTTTTTCTTCTTCCTCTTTTATCTGCCGGCGGACCATTGAATTGTTTCCTCAGTTCCCGTCTCTCTTCATACACCATCACTCTTCCCGTGAGCATTTGGAATGAACGCAGCAACGGCTCTTAGAAAAGGCTGGCACACATTACGTGTTCAGTGACTACCAATTGCTGTTACTGCCACTGTCACTTCATCAGCAGTGGAAGGATAACCTAGCCACTGACCTAATAAACCGAGGGATGGAGAAAGTCACCCCTGGAACAGACGACGCTTGCAGACTTTTCTGTTGGCTCAGCCAAACACATGCTATCTATTGTTTCCATCTGTAGAATACATTTATTGTTAATTGCCCACAGCAAATTCACCCTAATGCCATCCAGTGCTCTACCTTTAACTGGGGGCACTAAATAATAAAGCTGGCTTTTTCTTTCTGAGCACAAGCATGAGAGAGTGAAGGAAACCTCATCTCCACGCAGATGGATGCACTGTCCAGTGTGCCCGTCTCCTGGAGACTGGTAGAACAGAGTGCCATGGAGTCACTGAAACTCACCAGGTTTACTAGGTTCCTCCTTCCTCAAACAACGAGGAGTAGCAAGGACTGCCGAGAGACACTCTCAGACCAGCCATACTGTCCGGAAGAGCTACCTAGAAGCAGGAGACATCATCCAAGTTGCCTGGAAAGGGCTCAGACCAATTTGAGCTACCTGCAAAGGCACTGACTGAAGGTAGTCCAGTGTGCTCCAGGTTTCCAGCTGTTGTCACCCATGCGGAGGTGATGCAGCTGTTCTGAGTCATTTCACCCAGACTCCTGTATGTAACCCCAATAAAATTCACTGGCTCGCCCAGGTGAACGTTTGTATTACCCTTATGTTGGTCTGTGATTAGTTCTATTTCTGGGGTGAGTAGACATCTGGTTATGTCTCCTCAGGAATAGTGTCACACGATGTGGCAAAGCCTTGAACATCTGCATTTAATGACACAGTTGAGCCTATAACATCCAGCAAGATATTAAGGATATAATATGTGTTATTTGAAGTCAGACATATTCCTACATATTAACTATCTCTTCTCAGTTTTATTTAGCTTTGGAGACTGGGAATGGGCTTAGAATAGATCTCATCTCAGAATAGATCCAGAATGAAAAGCAAACAAACAAACAGCTTGCGAAGTCGTGGTCAGCCTAGCGCCACCACCAAATGTTTCCTGAGCGAGCAGTTCATGCTGGCGTTAAGTGGAAAACAAATGGAAAAGGCGTTCTGGAGGTCGTATCTCTTTTGGTTCCTGTGATGCTACAGGACTTGCCTTGGGATGATTTCCTTTGTCCCCTCTCTCTTAACATTTCTTGGTCAGACTGCTGGTGTTTTATTGAGCAGCGGGACCTCAGTTCTGAGCATGTTAAACAACTGTCTGTGTGTGCTTTCCAAGTCCAGCTAAGCAGCATTCCCAAAAGAGAGAAGAATTTGTTTAGTATTTTGACAATGGTCATTGCATTGGGTAGATTGTAGTGTAAGGGCAAACTGTGGGACACAGAAATCACTTCCCATTTCGGTCTCAGTTTCTCTGAAAGTAAAATGAAGCAGTTGGAATTTATGGTTTCTAGAGCTGAGCTATTCATCAGATTAGTGAATGAAGAAAAGGCATTAATAAATGCCTCAGGTATTATTCACCCAAACCTTTCCCAGCATGCGAGTGGCCTCTGACCCAAATTCATGACAGACTGTGAATGTGTGTCCCTGAGGATGAGAAGGTCCAGATCTCTCATCCTAGTGCATCTTCTGGTCTTTATTTCGTTGTATAATTCTCTGTTTTCCTGGAATGAGAGAAGGAAGAATAATTGCTTGTAATGGAAGACAAACAGTCAAGGAAAGTAATGTGTTATTGCTAACCACTGTACTGAGGGATACATCCCAGGAAGGGAAAGCTCAGTCTCGGGATCTTAACCAAAGATGGACATCAAAATCACTTGGAAGATATGCTAGATATGCTTGCCTGTGACCCCACTCCTAAAAAATTGTGACTGGGTAAACCTGGGCTGCAAGGACAGTTCTGCCTACCGCCAGCTCAGAGCAGGAGTTTTTGTCCAGACCATCATTTCTTAACTTTTATTATGTCAATGCAACGTTCATTCACTCGGTGATTCTAAAACACCATGCCTTTCCCAGTACAGTTTACGTTAATGGAAATATATATCTGTAATTAAAAGGTCCAAACAACTCAGGGCTGGGACTGTCGCTCAGCAATAGAGGGTTTACGTCATGTATGCGAGGCCTTAGGATCCAATCCCATTACTACCAGCAACAGAGGGACGACACATCTTTTGTCCAAAGATGCACAGTAGGACCCTTAGTTGGTTGTAAGACATAAAATGAAGCAATTCAGAATTTTTTTGTGCCGTTGCAAATGCAGTCATCATCTCTGAAATTACGTGTGATGTTCTACTACCGAGCTTACACATTCTATGCGACAGTGAACGCTTGTCCTTCACAATAGATGGGGAGCAATATTTGAAACCAGTGCTCTTTGTTAAGTCACCAAGGTACATTCTGGAATTACAGAACTGAAATAACAAGAGGCTTTGATCCCATCAACCCTCCTGGAGAGTTTACTTAAGGAAATCGTGTTTGTTTGCTGAACTGTAAATCAAACAGGTTCTAGCTCTCAATTCCCTCAGACTCACATTTCTGTTGCTATATTAAGGAATCAAAAAAAAATAACATTAAAAGAGAGAGAAGGAGAAAACACTCTTTAAAACACCGAGAAACGATTCCTTCATTTTCTCCAGAAACCCAACTATTGGAGCAGCAGAGCAAGCAGAAGTTTGCCCAAACCAAATGCAATGGAGTTTGACCTCCAACTCACCCTGGTTACGCCTAGCCCACATTCATCGTTCCTCTTCTGTTTTGATGTCCAAGCTTCATTGAGCCACCTGCAGATTGGCCATCACCTGACTCCTGGCAGCGTTGCTATGGGACTCATAGGAAGGACATTGTAGTAAAATGCCCAACACGTATTAGGTATTCTCAAATGATTAAAAGTATCATCATTATTTTCTCACAAAAATCAGGCAGGTGCAAAGAAACCCTGTTTGCTTCTGCTCCTTAGTTTCATCTCAAGGAGATGAATTCAGAAGGAAGAAGACTAAATTTGGAAAGTTCTTAATTGCCTTTTTGTAAATAGAGCACCAACCCTGATATGCAAGCTTCTCTCTAGACGGAACACAAAATGTTAGCATATATATGACATTTGCACAGGAATCAAACTAAAGACTCTAAAATGTCTTTGGATAACACAGTAGCTGTAAACTCAGTTTCATTTGCTATCTGCTGAAGACTCAGATTTGGTGAGTATGGTGGTGCCTGCCTGTGGTCATAGAAGATGGAAGGCTGAGACCTGAGACAGGAGAATCCCACGTTTGAGGAGAGTTAAGGTTACATAGAAATGGCCAGAATGACAACAAAGTCAATGGATATGAGTCACTGCTTTGATTTGGTTCAGTCCTTTTCTTTTCTTCTTTCTTTCTTTCTTTCTTTCTTTCTTTCTTTCTTTCTTTCTTTCTTTCTTTCTTTCTTTCTTTTTTTCGAGACAGGGTTTCTCTGTAGCTTTGGAGCCTGTCCTGGAGCTAGCTCTTGTAGAGCAGGCTAGCCTCGAACTCACAGAGATCCGCCTGCCTCTAGAGTGCTGGGATTAAAGGCGTGCACTACCACCTCCCGGCTCAGTCATTTTCTTTATGGGAGAAAGGCCAACCAATAAGAGACATACTTAAAAGACTGCAGGTTCTCTCAGAACCTAATAATAAATGAAAGGACACTTAGTTGTTGTAAGGGGAGGGGAGAAGAAATTTCAGATCTTTAAAGAATTAACATACTCAGGTCTTGAACTTGCTTGGGAGTGAGTTTATGTATCAATCTTAATGTGTGCAGACAAGAGGAAACAGAAAGGAATAATCGTGACCGTAACATGTGACAGTTGGAATGGAGGGAAAACATGAACTATTTCATGAGTGGAACTTCCACAATGAAGACATAGTTATTATAAATATATTGCACCAAATAACATGGGAAATGTACAAAACATAGCTAACTGGTTGAAATCACTGAGTTACAGGAAGTTTAAACTGACAATGATTTTTTTAAAGTATTGATACTTCGAGATAGGGTTTCTCTGTAGCTTTGGAGCCTGTCCTAGAGCTCACTCTGTAGACCTGGCTGGCCTCGAACTCACAGAGATTCGCTTGCCTCTGCCCCCGGAGTGCTGGGATTAAAGGCGTATACCACCACCACCCAGCATATTGATACATTTTTTAAAAGTTACTGCATCTTAGATTTAAGGAAGAGATTTATCAATGATCAACTGTGGGCGCGAAGTTTGTGGCATTTGACTGTTAAGGTGGCTTTCCAGGCAGTCTTCTTTGAGGGGAGGGGGTCTTTTCTACCATTGGATCACCTTCTAGTCAACATTTATCATGCCTATAAGGTTTTTATTTAAAACGAATATCTAATAATTATGCAATAAATGATTGCAATCAGACCATCATGAAAGCAGAAATGAACCTCTTTTTTGTTCACATTACTATGAATTTGGCGGCTGCGTCTATCAGTCAATAGCTCATCACCGCAACAAAATACCCTACATAAACTCTCTCAGATTCTTCTCGTGTTTTGGTTAGGATGTCAGAGGTTTCAGCCCATGGTCCTTGGCCTCATCACTGTGATGCTGAGGTAAGGCTTGATAGCATGGTCCGGGATACATGGTGTGTCAAAACTGCTCACCGGACAGCAAGGAAGGAAGAGGGCAGGGGGGAACAAGATATCTCTTTCATGGTGTGCCTCCATCAACCTACTTCACTTGACCCCCAATTTGACCCCATCTTCTATAAGGCTTAACCCATGACTGTGTCTTCTTCACTTATCCGTGTACCTGTGAGCCTGTTAGAAGATTCACCCGTGGATGAGACGAGATCCATTGTCTGCTTCTCCTGTTGCTACGATAACATGCTCTGAGAAAACAAGTAATTTAAAGGAGAAAGGGTTTAGTTTAGTTCACAGTTCAATACAGTGCCCATCATTGCAGTGCAATTGAGACAGCAGGGGCTTTAAACAGCTGGTCACATCAAATCCGCACTCAGAAACCAGAGAGACAGATCCTCTGCCCAGAGAATAGTCTTGTCCACAATTAAGATGGGTCTTCCCACATCAACTCAGTAATTAAGAACTCCCCCCAGGCATGCCTAGATCACATCTCCCGGGTGATTCTAGCTTTGGTCAAGCTGAAAACACTAACCACACAGACATCATGAGCCAAGTATTTCCCCCAAAGCCCCACTTCTGAGCATTGCTGCACTGAAGATTGAGCCTTTAGCGCGGGAGTCTTTGGAAGACATTTTGTAGCCAAACCACAGCACGGTGAAAGCAGCCAAATTTATATTCTATTATTACTTTGCATTGTGCAACTTCCTTCTAAGAATTACGGCATTTACATTAGATTTTATGATGACCATTAAAACGTTCAGATTTTATTTTAGGTTTAATAAATGTTAGTGCTCGCTGGTAACACAGATATACACTTCAGCATCACACACTCCAACCGTGCACAGAGGCCCTACGAATACAGGTCGCAGGAGTGAGGCACTTCCCAAATTCCTAGGTGGTTGAGTGATAATTTGACTGGGCTCACACTTAAATCTCTAGAGACAGCCTCTGGTCTTTTCTACTCTTCTACTAGGTTTTTAGAAGAACAAGGTCAAAAATATATGTGACAATGTTGGTCATTATTTAACCATCTTCAAAGAGTATCATAAACTCTGCAATGTGTAGAATCCTGATGATCCCCTTTCCTTACACTGTCATTTAATTTAATTTCTATTCTGTTGTCACCTTTAAAAGAATTAACTATCTTGTTTGTTTGTTCAT